CTAGAATGATTATTCGATGACGAGGAACCCACTTTGAGACTAATAATGGCTGGAGATGGGTTGAATGGGTAATGAAGCAAAAGTTTAATATAAGTTTAACATAACAGCAAGTGTACAATGTTTCGACAAGGTTTTGTCATCATCAGGTAGAAAAGGCATCTTGGCACCCCGGGATGTTGGTTTAGAGTAGGGTTGTTTTGTTCAATTAAGATGGATTCCTTGATTTTTCGTTTGTTTATGTTGGGTTCTTTGTTTAAAATGACTGCGTTTTTAATAGATATACTATGGTTTTTTGAGTTGTAATGGTGAAAAACATGGGACGGTTTTTTATTGTGTTCTGTCAATCTGGTTTCCAATTTTCTTCCTGTTTCTCCTATGTAGAATTCTGGGCAGTTATTGCATGTTATTTTGTAAATGACATTGGTATTGCGTGATTCTAAATAATTTTTGTTTAGTAACAATTTTAATTTAGGGCCGGGTTTTTGTGAGAATTTGACGTTGACAGGAATATTATGTTTACTGGCTAGTTTAGTCCAAGTGTGGATAATTCTTGAGCTGGTTTCAGGAACAAAAGGTAAACTGCAGTGTAATGTACTTTCATCTTCAGGCGGAAGACTTTCGAAACATCGTCCTCTACATTTGTAAGTTTCTACAACAGGCAGTTGCTGTCCATTTGAAACTTAGGTTTATTCAGGGGATGCATTCTTATGAGATATTATTTGCCCATAATTTACAGAAAAAAATATTAAACAGGTACCCAAACACATACTGTCACATTAATAACTAAATAAATAAAGAAAATACTGTACATAAAATGTATAAAGCTGATTGCTTTCCATGCCTTCTTTGTTGGTGTGCTTTCAGACCATTTTCCAGACATATTTCAAGGGTATAGAATTGTAATAACACAATGTAACAAATTAACTTATCAAAAGATGGCGGGAAACTAGACTGACACTCGCTTGCAGGACCCCAGGATATGGAGGAGCACAACAAGGTGATGCTATCTGTCTCACTATGTGGCGCAAAGTAGTTTTGGCATGTTTCAAAATTTTCAAAACAACATTCTAGTGAAATAATTATATTCATTTTGAAACTTGTGCTGTAATATGCTCGCAACATTCTAGTGAAACAACATAAATAGAGACGATGCAAATAGAGGAGTTCCCGCATATATTTCTTATGAAATGCACTAATATTACACAATGCTGAAATACCAATTCTAAAATAAAATGCAGAAACAAAGTTATTTTTTTTTTCCTTTAATTTTGAAATTTCATATGTAGATGTGCACTCAAACACCTGAAGTGCATACCCACCGGTCTTGATAGAGTTTGTAATATAAATTTTTTCTATTTGTTTTTTTATTTTCCACAATTGCATATACAAACAATATATATAATTCTGATATAACATCTATTTTCTGGATGTTTTCAAACTATATAAGAAATTAATATGAAACTAATTATTTTAAGCTGTATAAATATTTTGTTTTTCCCTTACATGTTAAATCATGTCAAGTATTTTATAATTGCAACTTACATATTTCTTGGTTATATTATTAAATGCTTCTATGAAGCTTCACGTACTTAATAAACATAAAGTTGTAAAAAGGGAGAAAGAATTCTAATAGGTGTACAAACAGCATCATGAATTTATTCAGGAAAGTTCCTTTACATATAATTAACTAGTTTATTTGTTTGAAGCAGCTCCACACATTGGCCTGTAAATTTACTATATCTAAGTATTAATCAAGTGTAAAAAAATAAATAATGATGAAGATTTAAAAAAACATATTTTAGAAACCTTCGAACATAACAGCTTCATTAACAAACCAAATATGTACTGTATTTCAAACTTCTGATGGCTGAATGGCATATTAGAACCTTGGAGAACATTGTTGGCTCACAAACTTTCAATTCTTATAAATAATCTAACTACTTAAAGTTTAAAACAACTATTTTGGTTTCCTTTTTCACAGAAGTTACATAATTCGAAAAAAAGTTCAATTGTTCCATTTATTATTACAGTAGTAGAATAGAGATTTAAAACATATTTCAGAATTACATTAACCATGAGAAACTTTCACATTTCTAACTGTACTTACTTTATTTTGAACAACAATAGTAACTCGATGGTTTAACTGGTGTTGATGTAAGGACAGGTCATTCAGATTTTTCACTTTTATTGCCATCCCTTTCTCAACTGCAAGACGGCAAATGGCTTTGTTAATCAGTTCTGAGTCAACTACAACAGGACGTGGTGTTAAAGAAACAATACTGCGAACAGTATACACAGATAATGAGAAAGGAGCAGCCTATGTAAAGAATACAACTATGTTTCAGATCAAAAACATATATGGCACTGCAATCAATGTCAAACCATAATAATGACAGAAATAAAATAATGTAACTATACTTCTTGTAAAACTTAGTTTTCTTAGCAATAGGTTTTAATAGTCCTAACAAATTTCAATAATTATTTCTTAGCAATCATAACTACAAAATGGTTAGGCAATCTCACTGGCAAAGATTATCTATTCCAAGCAAATAGCACATACTGACATCTAGTATTAGTCTCACCAGTCTCATTTGGCTAAAAATCCACTTACTGTCTACTTTCTAAAATGATAGTTTATTAACAAATGTCTCAGAAATTTAACAATTTAAAAGCAAGTTTGATTCCTTGTTACCTGGTCTAACTGTAAATCTCTGTTATATCCCATCAGTTTTAGAGTCTGATTTAGACTTCCAATATCTCCACTCTCCTGAACTTCCATTTCATGTAGAGCCAGGAAACTACCTATTGTCAGCTTTGCTGACTTTGTTTCAAAGTTACCTAAAATTATAAACACAAAAATAAGGAAATGATAAGCATACATTTACAACAATAATTATTGTGAAGTTTCTTAAAATTCTGTGTAAAAACTAAAATCTCATACATATATATATATATATATACACACATATATGTATATATATAAACACAAACACAAGTATAAATCTATTTTTCACTTTTATATGCAAATTTAGACTATTTTAAAAACTGAAAGAGAGTTTGTTTGTTTTTATCTCACAAGATTCTCCGAAAGAATGGAAGAAATAAAGCTCTCTATATTACTTGTCTTTGCAAACTTCTCTAGCTTTGAAAACTAGATAAAATGATTACAGTAGTTCACTTTTATTTTGTTAGGCTACAAATAAGTTGGAAAACTGCATCATCCCTAAAATGTGCAACAAAAATGATGAAATTACATCCACAATATTTGTTTTGCTGTCACCAGAATGCATAGTTGATGATATCTCTTCTTCTATTGAAACACCAAATTTAACTCAAATAACTAATAAATAAAAACTGTGTGTGATCTGGAACTGGAGAAATAACCAGAAGTAAGAGAATTATAAAGGAAACTCCTAATTATCCAGGATGACTTAACTACACACAGTGGGCATTCACAGATCAAACCAGCTTTTGGAATTTACTGCCAGTGACTACAACTTTTTGATAAAACATAGAACCAAGACTATGAAATTGACACACCACCACTTTACAGCAAAGGCTCAATCCATTTACTTGAAATCTCTGAAAAAAAGTAAAAATAAAGAAGAATGTTTCTAAAGTCAATTTATCCCCTTGGTGATGTTTCCAAGAAATATCCTTTCATAACCCAAGGTTTCTATTTATCAGATTCCCAAACCATACTACAAACTTTTTTGTTTATTACCACTCAAATCATGTAAACCTCGAACACCCGAATTCCAACATCATCAATGACTCTGTAGAATATAAAAAGGTAAGTAATTACTTATTTCAATCCAAACTCCTGCATCAACTGAAGGAAAAACTGCCCCATTTGAGGAAAATTCATTTCTTCAATGATGGTTAGCTGACCAATCCTAAGAGCTTTACAATTTCATTGGTCTCTGTCACCATGAGCTGGAGTTCAACTTATAGAATGAATGAAATTTTTTGAAAATTCACATAGCAAAAACCTAGTGATGGTATTATGGGAACAGTCAGGAAGATTTCAAAAATGAGCTGGGAAAGTTCCACTGATGGCCAGATTTTAATCCTAGGGAATATGTTGCCATTTTGCAAGATGTGATAATCAGAATAAACCATCACCTTGCTTTGTGGGCACTGCTATCCCTGTCGAAAAAACACTGAAGTAGATAGGGGTAGCTAACTTTTGACAAAAGTTATATTAAACTTCACAAGTCTCAGCAGCATCACAAAATACCAACAGCACTTACAAGCAAAATTCTTCACTAGGGCTCTAAATGTAAAGACAATGCATTCTACCATTGAGCCACTGCCCTTTTCAACTGGGACATTATAGCTTCACAATGATCTTGCAGACACTGGCCAAGCAGTAAATTGCTTAAAAGTTATCTCAAGAGACAAGTCATGGGTAGACAGGAGGTATACAGCATCCACTGAAATAATTTGTCACTACCATATCTCTGAATTCTCAATGTGGAATAAACATCTGATGCTACTGGGATCTGTGGAAATCAACCTAGACATAAAAAACGTATAGATTAGGCAAAGGGTGAAGCAGAAAATGCATGTCAGCGTCTATGTAAAGACAATAGTGGACAATCAATTGTCATCATAGGCAAGGATGGTCATTCATTGTCTTGCAACATTTTATGTAGGTCTGATGGAGCATTCAAGCTTTCCACAAGCAGCACAAGGATGGAGCTGGAAGCCATAAAGCAAGCTCTCTTTTGGATTGTTTAACCCTTTCTCAAGTTTGAAAAGGTTTCTAACACAAATAGTCAATATACATGTTACACTTTATGCTTGTAATCCTCCTATTTTAAAGCAATATTTGTTAATATGCAACCAGCATTATAAATAGATATTTGGCTTTGATAAAAAGAGATCATTATAAGAACTTACTTTCAACAATTGACCACTCTTCATCTGTAGGTATTTCTCCACTGGTTCTTAAGCTGAACAGAGTAAACTCATTTCTACTAACAAGTCCATCTTGGTCCAGATCAATGTTTTCAAACACCTTTTTTAAGGCTTCTATAGCAGTAGTGCTCAAGGTTATGCTCTGATCTTCATTACTATGCACTAGAGAAATGGATTCATCGTGGGAGTGTATTGCAGGGTTTGTCCAACAGCCTGTGGTGAAGGGGATGATCCAGTAGCGGCCCTTTTCCAGGTGGGCCTCTAGCCAGTAAAAACCCTAAATGTTGTAAACTTATTAAGCAAACTAAGAATGAAGCATCAGAAAAACCATGTTCAATGTGACTTCAGATTTGATGTTTCAAAAACCTATTCATAAAAAAAACTTTACAATTATTTTCAAAGATGAGAAATATTATTAGATGTTAGATTAACTGCATTTTATAAGAATAAAATGTTAATGTAGTGGTGTATTGCATGGTTGAAATGTTTAATACTAATAGAGTTAGTTCATGGTAAAGTCCCACCAATTCAGCTATGTAATAATGTTGCCATGGTTAGATGGCTACAGTAGAAAAAGCAATTCTAAAATTATCATAAGCACAGTTAACCTTCAACAATCCAAGATAAACAGTATCATTGCACAGATTACTCGTAAATCATAATCATCTTTAAATTAAAATACTACCTTTCTCACACACATACTTAGATGTGAAGGTAAAACATCGTTCTTATAAACATGTGATGTTTTAAAATATAAATTATACTGGGAATTTCAAAAACAGTTCAGCATAATTACTTACTTTAGAGACACTGCTACAGTAAACCTTTGCTTTTATGTTTTACAAAATGACAAAGTTGTAGGTATTTCAAATATTCTTAATTTATACACTAGTGGCCATCTACGTCAAGATTACTGAGTGGTTCACAAATGTAGAACTTTTCTATCTTATTACTGTTCTCAACTCCATCCCATCTGTTGGATACTAGTGAAATTGTGTCATTTTCGGTTAAACTGATTTCCTGAAAAAGTAAATGAGGTAGGTTTATTATAAAAATGGATGTTCAGCAAAATAAATTGAAAAGTAATTCTGAATTCCTCTGAAATGAGGTTTGTAGAAAGAAATAAACAGACTGGACACAACTCATAATACATAATGAAACAATCTTTATTCTTATGATACAATGCAACAGTATGTGTGGTCTATCTTTTTGGACAATGAACAGTTGCCTTTACTGGAGAGGTGGATTGATCCGGCTGGTTCCCTCAAGACTTATTTCCAAGCTGACATACTCATTCAAGATGATGCTCCAGACTACCAAAGTTGAATCAGTAGAGTCACACTTATCCAGAATGACTAGTTCTACCTACATGACTGGTCATTCTACATAAAGGAGATTGTAATCTTGAGATACCACCCGATCTACCATTGGAAGACAGAGCTGTTAAAATGAGCATGATGCAATTTTACAGCCATACTCCATAGGGGCAGACCAGATGTTATTTCTAAGAGCTGACTTGAGACCAAAGAAGCTACAATGAAGCCAAGTGAACAAGTTTCTTGACCAAGTTCTACATGAACACTGCATATAAGAAGGTAGAAAACACATGGTATGTCTGGATACCACAAAATTATGAATATGTTTTTTTTATTGTTTAACAGTTAAAATTTTTTAACTAACTCAACTTTTGTAGTTTTGACTTTCTTGTTTCAATACTTTTTTTGTAGCATTAAAACTTTCTGTATTACTATAGCTAGCCACATTATGTATAGATATTGATCCCTACTTGTCTTTATAAAATAAACAAATTTATCATTATACTCGTTTTTTTCTTTTTTATTAGCTACATTTTAGTGCAGCAGCAATACGAAGTGTGGGGTGCGTATATACCTGATTCAATTTTATTACTCATCAGTATCTCTACCAACCTACCCTCAAAACTAATTATATGCCCAAAGTAGCACATCGTCTGTTAAATATATGTACTAGTATCCTTTTTGATACAAAAAAGGAATAATTAGGACCCCAGGCAAAGGAGTTCTGTGAAAGAATATGAGCACTAAGATTCATCATTTTTTTCTGCATGCTTGTCTGGAAAAGTCACTTATTTATTTTGATGAAAATTTGTTAAAATATGAAATTTTGTTTCACTCCATAAACATGTATATAGTGATTTAGGTGGCTTTACAAGAAAAATAAGCTTTGGTTTTGCTCAGCCAATATTGTGAAATAGTCGTTTTTAATATTCAGACATTTTAAAAGTGGTTTTAAACAGGCAATTTTTATTACCACTCTTTTGTTTCATCATAATCCCTACTGTTAAGTACTACAGTACTTAATGATAGCCCACATAGCCTCAACTTTCAATTCACTGAAACAACATAGACACAGTTAATTAATAAACATTTTGACATAATTTTATAAAATGATCTATAAATTTTATTTTCTCTCTCTCTCGAAAAGTTTGACTTCTCTCTACTAGTAGTAGTAAAAAAAGTTAGAACTAACATAACAGCTTATATCATTATTCATCAACAGTCAGGAGTGTGGAATTTTTGAAAAAACTTCTTGTCAAAAGGACAAAATGCTAGAAGAATCTACTTGTTCTTCTTAAAAATCTGGTTGCATCCATTTCTCCCACAAAAATGTGGAATATAACTTTTAGGAGTTTGCATGTATTTAACAGTAAACAGTGAAAAAAACAATTCTGGGTTGGTTG